CTCTTTTCAGTGGTGGGCAGGGATAGGACTAGAGGAAATGGCTTCAAACTGAAGCATCGGAAGTTCCACAGGAACTTAAGGAAGCATTTCTTCACTGTGAGGGTGACAAAGCACTGGAACACGCTGCCCGGAGAGGTTGTGGAGTCTACTTCTTTGGAGATCTTTAAAACCCGCTTGGATGCAGCCCTGTGCCACGTGCTCTAGGTGACCCTGTGTGAGCAGGGGGGTTGGACTCGATGACCTCTGAGGTCCCTTCCAACCTTGGGCATTCTATGATTCTATGATTCTAAAGACATCTGATACAAAGAATTCAAATGATAAAGCATTATAATGGCTGCTTGGAACTGCAAAATGTGAACACAAGTAGCCTTGACTGAGCCACAGTAAGTCTGCCAGCATGTATTTTAATTAGACACTGACTGAATACATGAAGCATTACACTGTAAAATTTCATACTCAAAGCAATCAAGTTCAAAACTGCTGTCACTTACTGCTGAAATATTTAGGAGTGAATTAACAGGAATGACTAAAAGTTCTTAGTTTCCTGCCTGTAAGTGTTTTTATAGATAATAAAGCAGCACATACAGATTTGATTCAAATTCTGAGATGATCATCATTGGGAACTATGACCAAAGGTGGCACTAACTAGTAACAAAGACAAGAAGGACATCAGAAATCAAATGTGCTCTCTTGCCTAAAGGTGATGCTTTAAGGCATCAGCATAAGTAAGGCATAACTAAGGATTCAAGTGACCTATGCCAGATCTTTGGTCACCGTTAATTGTCATAATAGTATTGCAATGAGCAATAGCTAAGTATATGGCAAGTGATGAAAGTTGTGTAGTTTCCTTCTCTGAAGACAAATGGGATGGGATTCATCTCATCTAACTTCAGATACCTGCTATGCAGATGTTCTCACCTCAACTCACTGCTCACAGCTCCTTTCTCAAAGGGAAGAAACTGATAAGAAATAATTTGTGATTCATCAGAGTTATGAGAGTAAATATCAATTTTACCATGATGTGAACCAAACCTGGACATTTCTGACTGTATTGACTAGATACCCACTGACTATAAAGGTAGCCTAGGGACCAACCCTGTTGTAAGCACATTGTAGATAACCACTTTTCTTCAGCACTGCCCCACCTATGATGGAAGTTTGTTGAGCCAGAAACTTTCATGGGCACCTATATCTCATTTCCTACGTATTATAAGAAAAAAAAAAAAAAAAGTCCTATACATGTTCTGAATGTCCTATAGAAAGTTTGAAATATTAACAAAAATCTCTGCTTAGTGTACAGCCTATATGTTTGCATTTACTTCCATTTATCAGCATAGTTTCTGGACTCATTCTTCACCAGGTAGAGTACTGTCCTGCTGACCATAAAAAATGGAGATGACTGAAAATCAAGAAATAAAAGGATTTTACTGCTTGAGTAAAAAACTTGAATTCAAGTTTTCTTTTCCTAACAGAAGGTAAGTCATTTCCTTAACTATCAGATTCTTGTCAATAAGATTTTTGCAAATAATTTATATACTCATGATAAATGTTGCAAATCAAACTCTGGTCACATTCAGTGTGTGTGTGTATATATATATATAAATCTTGTGTGTATAGAGCTATAGAGTGTAAACATATGAATATAGCTCTATCATTATATGTGCAATCTGAGAGCCCTAACTCCATAACTTACAGGTATACCTAATTCTAACTTCTTGTGTGCTTAGCTCACTGAAATGAGGCCAGTCCATATTTATGCATATGTGTGCACACCCAATATGGGTTCAAGTGGCTAACTTTAGGCACCCTGAACAGAAAAATGCAGCAAGCACAATCTAAAATAGAAGTCAGTCACTCTTGGGAGAAGAGCCATATTTTTCTTCAGGAATGTTACAGTGCTATTTGGCCATGGAGAAAAGACAAGACACATCATGTTGGCAACTGAATTCTGGACAAGGGGATGTGGAAACCATCTTATTTTATGCATTTTTCTCCTTTATAAGCCTGATTCTGCCATGTGTAATTCTGGTTTTACTTCACTGAAATCCACATGGTTACCAAGTTGGAATATTATCTCTGACTAACAAGTAAATATTTGCAGAGCTAGTTCTGATTTATTTACCTGTCAATTACTGAGTCAAATTTTAGAGGATCCTCCATTGAAGTTGCAGACAACAGCATGAAGAAGTATGATGGAGGTTTTATCTTGTTTGCTATGCTGTGAACTCCCAGAGAGATTGTGAACAGATCCCCCTCATACACAAGCACACAAACACATACACACACCACATGAAATCTGAAAGGGCAGTGTTGGCAGATGAGGGCAAGGAATAAAACAAGCATTGGCATTTTTTTTTTTTCAAAGGGATTTCCTAACATGCTGAGTATGGTTCTGTGATAATCCCCATGTAGAAAATGAAAAGTGACACAGCATTTCTGGATCTAGGAAGAAACAACAACTCGGCTACTAAAATAAGTAAGTCTCTTAAAGTATTCAAGGCAAGCAGCCTATTCAAGGGAATGATCCTTTCCAGACTTCATCTGTGAAACTCTATTTCAACAAGGAAACTTTCAAAGACAAGATGAAACTTATCAGAAAAGAGAGATTCAAATTTAGGGAAACCAACAAAGACCTAATTGAATTGCTATGTGCAGCCTTTAAAGACTATCCATGTGTGTACAATTAACAGCAAACAGTGCTAAAGCACCTCAGATTGTCTGTTTTTCACTGAGACTTGTGATGGACTGGTAGCACATGGATTGTGAAAATGTGGTTCAGCTGATGGGCTGTGCAGGATTCTATACAAAGATTAGTGCACCTATATTTAAACGTCTATGTTTCCATGGCCATTCCAGCTAAAGATCTATTCCACTCATTGGGTGGAACATGCAGATTCAGCTGAGCCCAAAGAGTCCCATCAAGCAGAAAAAAAAAAAAAAAAAAACGTTTTTTAGGTTTTATTGTGTTCACTAGATCCCCACTGACTATGATGGGTGTTCAGCACTAATTCACATGGAGTCATCTACATTTAGATATCCCAGGCTATAAGAAAAAGCTCCTTTCCACAGACACCCATTTAAACTGTAGGACTTTAATGGGTGCCCAAGTCTCACTTCATAACAGAAACTACTTCAACATGAAAAATGATACTGAAAAAAAAATATGAATAAAAAACATAACTTTCAGATAGCAAGAAACCAAAGTGGTAAACTGAACAGAAATGAATCAGGTCTTTAGAAAAAATAAAGATAAAGGCAAGAAACAACACTGATGTGAATTTCTTGGCAAAATTTGCTTAGCAGGGTACTGGAGAAACCAGCATCTCTTTTTTATGCTTCATGTTCCCAAAAGAGATGCAATTGAATCTTTCCTATCGAGGTCTAAAAAATAACCTGTAAAATTATTGCAGTTTAAAGTGATTTGGGGTTTCAATTTTTGTTATTTATTTATTATTATGTTTCTCTCGCACAGCTAATATCAAAAATTCACTCTCTAGAGCAAGAGTATTCAAATAGATTGCCTGTGAAGTGGGAGAAAATATAAAATTCAGGCAACAGCACTGAAAACTACATCCTGCAGAAAGCATTGCAACAGAAGAGAATGAGTAAGGTATGAGGGCAATAAAGAGGAATTTAGAGTTGTGTACAGAAAATGTGGGTCCCAGATCTTTATCTGATCATCCGAAGTTTATCTGATCATGACCGAAGTTTATATAGTTTTCAGCGCTCCTCCCGATCCTTCCTGTGATCCATGCAAAAAGCAGTAGCTTATCCTTCTAGTGAGGCACTAATTTCCAGGATAATCAGGGAAAACACAGGAGCAAGGCACCTTGAGAAATTAAATACAAAGGTGGTACTTCTTGTATCAACAAGTTCTTGGGTCACTGTTCTCTGGATTATGGAAATATCAGTCTAGATTTCCCTGTCCTTATAATTATCTCTTGGCTGAGAACTCCTTTTTTAGCTTGACCTGTTCTTTTTTCACCTAAAGAGAGATCAAGGAAAAAGTGTTGTCCTGCAGCCAGTTCCCCACATGTTTTCACCAGATATCAAATGTGTTCTTCTCCCTGTGTCATTCTCTACAAGATTCCTATCACTCTCTTTTCCAACCTGACCATTTTCTGACCCTGGCATACTTATATCAATTAGCCTGCATCTTTGAAACAGCTGATGGCAAAAAGGGATAGGGTAGTACAACACTTTCAGGGATTTGTAGTTATTATCAGCTGTCACATCTTCCCTAGAAGGAGTTTAGCATTATTGGCTTAGGGGTTTGAACACAGCTGATACATACTTAAAACTAGATTGACTCCTGCACAAGAGACGCAACATCTACCTCAGATCCCAAATGGGGACTCATTCTGTCCATCTTCCCAAAGAGTCTGCTTTATCTGAGTGCCAGCAGTGAGAGTGAAACCTGCATATAGTGTTGAGTGTAGATGGCCCCAGGGTCAAGGTGAAGACTAGTGCCAGAACCTAAACCCAGACTGTTTGGATATTTTTATCCTACGTGGACATTATTATCCTATGAAGGTCCAGTATAAAGTACAATACCACTCTGCATCCAGTCATAACTCTGGTTACCACATGCTCTTCTCTTTCTGATCCCAAGACTTTTTGAGTCCAGGCTGAGCTGCAGAGGAGATACAGAGCGTGTTCACCCAGGAAACTCACAGGACAGGTGTAATAGATAAAAGTTCAGCCCCTGTAAACTGAGCTATACCTTAGGTCAAACACTTAATGTGTTCCTCTTTGTAGATGAGTAGTACAGGAATGTCGTCCCTGTCATTGCTTCACTCGGAACACATCCTGAGAAGAAAGCTCCAACCTCTGGGTCTTATCTGGCTGAAGTCATTTGCTATGTCTTGTTGGTTGCTACCACTCTTACTAAAAGATGTCCTTCTGGGAGATCATCTAACATTTCAGTGATACAAAGTTGGCACCTGTTTCAGGAGATTTCACTCTTTGGATACTTGCTTCTTGTGTGATGTCTTCATCATAGTATTTTGACTGTTTTCTGAATTACTTAGGTATGTTGTAGGAACTTCACAGGGTTCCAGACATTGCAAGAACCTTACTGTGTTTAGATATTAAATCAAAAATTGGCCCTATTTCTCTTCCAGAGAAGATATTTTCAGCATGGTTGGACCACAGCCAGAAGTGGGAATACTTGAAGGCTTAGAGCTGAAGATAAGTCTTTTCAGCACTCAGGCTTTGAAACCTCTCACAAAACAAGCACAGTGAAGTCATCCTTGTATGGGTACAATGGCAAGAAAGATCTGGAAGTCATTTAGCCAGGAGCTGAACATTTGGATTCATGCCACTTATAGAGGGATCTCCATCATATCCATCAGAATGGTCACTTTCTTCTCCTGCATTCTGGAGTTTATCTGTATTGATACAACATTTCGTATTCTGTTTCCTAAAAGAATAAAGCTTATGCCTCATACTTCACATCCACGTGCACCTGTGTGTATGTGTGTGTGTATCCACGTCTGTATATGTCCATTTCCATTTTAACTCTTTGACCAACTTCATCCATGAAGCCAGCTATGGATGAACGTTCCTGCAAGTTTTATTAAAAGAGATAGTGAGGACAAGAGTACCTAGGAAGTAGGTACTGACCTAAGTTTATGTATATGCAACTTCAGGCTTCCTTTGCTGAGTCTCATGCATTCTCATGCAATATAACACTGCTGCATGTGCATTTCTAGTCCTGGAGAAGGATATTTAAACACAATAAAAAACAGTGCTGGATGTATTTCCTATTTTACATTTTCATGAAAGTATTCATATTTATTGGAAACATACAACTTTGGGTTATGGTTTTGTTTTCTTTTAATAAAAAAGAAAGAAAACAAATATTGGTGTGCAACTGACAAGGGAGGAAAAAGCAGGGAAGCTTAAATATTTAAATGCATTCAAAGTATTGAATAGTCAAAGGAAAAGAGAAAATAATTCCACCTTTTGAAAAGTTTTGCTAGTGCACTAGCAGGAATATTCCAAGTTCACTATCTCACTACCCAGATGCACATCTCTCTGCTGTGACAATCTCACCGCACTAAGTGGTATTATTAGATGGGATTTAGAGACTTAAACCTCTTTACAGGTATCACAGGGAGGGTGAGAAGTTACTGGTTTATACCTTTCTGAGGAAAGTTTAAAAAGCAAAATAATTTAACATCCTTCCAAAAAGATATGAGCACTTTTGTCTCTAAGCAAGGCTTACTAAACTTATGAAAACACTTAGGAAGGATTTATTGCGTAAAATAGACTCTTTGCCCCTATGCTACACTGATCCTTATGCCAATCAATTTTGATTAAAAAAGAAAAACAAAGATGACTAGTGAGCAGACTGTCTCTTAGGGATGAAAAAGCACCACCTCTCAGAAACAAGACTGCTAGCAACAAAGTTATGAGGCTCATGGCCTGTGGACACAGCTCAAATTTGGGGACAGTC